ACCACCACCTGCCCCAAGCACAGCCCCAACCCAGCCCCCTGCCAGAAAGAGGCCAGCACAGCCCCCAGCCTACAACAGGCACGCCCTCACCCCACACACAAATCCAGGGGGCACATGCCCCCCACACATCCCCCAGGGATGGGTACAGCAGCAGGAGCTGCCCACCCTCCCCACTGGCTCCCAAACAAGCCGCCTGAGGCTCTATCCCGTAGAAGCCCTCCCTCCCCGAGGGGGCCTCAATCTGCACCCCCCCCATACACCTTCTCCCCGACAGACTTACTGGCTGGACACTGCTCTCCAAGGTGCCAGGCTCCATCCCTGGCCATGTGCATGCTGCGGCTACGCACGTGCACACAACACTTATCAGGGACGTTATCGGCCACGTTGGCCAAAAAAGCTGGTTGCTGGTAATGTCAAATTTCCTTTCACCTGTGCCAACAGGATATTGATTGATATAGTGGTGCACCTCTAATTAAAAACATGGTGCCATATGCCAGCATAAAATTGTCCAGTATGGAACCAAGGCACTATAAACAAACACATACTCAGTTACACTGGATGAGCTGTTACTTTGTTTTCGTCTGAATACCCTTTTTGTCTCTGCTTTGGTTCCTGGAGAAAAGTCAGTCATAAGATTCACCATAATAAAATGCAGGTATTACTACACCTCAAAAATTAAAATCCACATATAATTGAAAAGTAAAAAGAAACACTACTTACCATCCAAAACAAAAAAATGCAAGATAAAGGCCCAAAAGAGTGACAACAACATGTCTTATAAATGAGCTAGTTTTGCTTGAATGAAGGTATGTTCGAAACCAAATAGCTGCAAGCAAGGCAAACAGTTGGCACACTACGAAGTTGACCTGCACAGAAAGAAAAGAAAGTTACCCACATCATCATCATCTTCCAAGACTGCCATAGGCTTTCAAGTCAAAAAACTCCAACACCAGCAATAACTATCCTCTAATAGAAGTCTACGGAATTTGTGATTTCTCACTTAACATAAGCATTTCAATTTTAAGGAATTAAGCCTCATATCACCAATGAGGCAAGAAACCTGACTTCCATTTTCCAGGTAGTAAAGTTAAGGGCAGAGAAACCCTGATTTCACCAAGATCACACACGTTTGTCAAGTCAAAAAAAATAACTCAAATCTCTCAAGTCCTAAATTAGTGCCTTGACCACCAAGCTTTACTTATTCTTCTCCATTATGTTTTTTAATTAGGAATAACAATAAACGTGAGAGATACACAAATCACTGTTGTAGAAGCCACCTTTGCTCCTGACAGGGCAGAAAACCTACTTTGATGGTTCATGCTCAGGTCTAAAAAGAAATCAATTAAATTTCAGAGTTCAGCGAATATACTTCCAAGTCAGAACACATCAATATCATGGCTAGGCATTGAGAGTTTCTAACCTTCCTTGACCTCAACTACGGTGGATTTCAAAATCTCTCTTATCAATACATCCTTATCAATAGGAACGGATCCTCAACACGTTAACAGAAGCATATGGAAGAGGGCTTTCAGGCTTTAATATTATTTCTTCTACATTTGGGGATTTTATGTACCACCTCATTATTTAGTTCTCTTTCATTAAGAGTTTGGACACAATATTCTTTTGGTATCAGCAGACTACAAGCAACCCAAGATTGATGGCAACTCCTATATCCCATTGTTTAACTGTGAAAAATTCATCAATATGAGGTGCACCGATACATCAATCCAGTATCGGATCAGCTCCGATAGAAAAAAAATTGATCGTATCAAAAAATCGGCCTGATGTGGCTGATAATTTGGCTTGAGCATGCACACAGCCGCAATGCAGCACATAGGCAGCGAGAAGCCCAGCTCTCCATGCAGCTGGTAAGTCTGGTGTGGTGGAAAGGGAGGGGAGGGGAGGGGTGTGAGAGACAGGCTGGGGGGGGGGGGAGGGGAGGGGTGTAGCAGGGACAGAGGAAGGCCCCCACAGGGAGGGAGAAGTGGGGCAGGGGCTGGGGTAAGCACTGATCAGCCGGGGTGGGGCACACATGGGATGGATCCAGAGCTCATCCAGGGGGCACAGGGACAGCTTGCACCACTTTGCTAGACCAGTGGCCCCCAGATCTTGCCTGCTCATCTGGTGGCTCCCACCTCTCATCGGGGCAGCGGCGTGTGCCCCCGGATCTGCGTGGGTCAGAGCGGGTTGGGGCCTGGGCTGCACAGGGCTCTTCCTGGCCTGCCCCACCCTGTGCAGATCCAGGGGAGCATGCTGCCCTGCACCCCCCCCCGCCACGCCCTCCTGGATGAGTGGTGGAAGCAGCAGCAGGACCCGCTGGGCCAGCAGCTTTCAGACGAACAGTACAAAGCGGCGGAAAACACCCCCTTCTCCCACGGCACCCAGACGAGCCGTGGCTTCATCCTGTGCCCGCCCCACCCTGGGTGAGCCACACTTATCCCAGCCCCTGCCCCAGCCTACTCCTCCCTCACTGCAGGGACCTCGATATGCTTCCCCCCCACCACCACCACGCCCCTTCCACCACACCAGACTTAGCAGCTACATGCTGCTCTCCAAGCTGCTGGGTTGGTATCGGAAAGCAGATTGTATTGGCCAATGTGCCTCCTTAAATATTGGCTATTGGTATCGACCCCAAAAATCTCTATCAGTGCGCTGCTAGTCATCAAGGTATCTATCCCACTCAGAAAAAACGGGGGCAGGAAGAAGGGCAGAGGAAGATTTACTGGCACTTCTAACCATGACACTGAATTAGATAGTATAAGGCCAAGCCCTATGAGGACAGACTGGGGCACCTGGACCTCTTCAGCCTCCGCAAGAGAAGGTTGAGAGGCGACCTTGTGGCTGCCTATAAGTTCATCACGGGGGCACAGAAGGGAATTGGTGAGGTTTTATTCACCAAGGCGCCCCCGGGGGTTACAAGAAATAATGGCCACAAGCTAGCAGAGAGCAGATTTTTGTGGATTCTGCAAAATCCAGGCAATGCCTATAAGAAGGAAGAGGGGGGAGGGCGGAGTGGAGGAGCTGCCTACTAGAAGGTTACTGGTAAGATGGCTGATGCCCCCCTGACTCCTCACCACTGACTGGCTGCAAGGGCTGCCTGTCACATGGCCCTGCCCCTCCAATCAGCAGCAAGGGGCAGGGCTGCATGATGGACAACCCTTGCACCCAATCAGTGGCAAGGGGCAGGGCCACATGACAGGCAGCTCCTGCAGCCAATCAGCAGTGACGGGTGGTGCCATCGGAGCCTCTTGGTCAAAGGCATGGGAGAGCCTGCCGCACTGCCCACAAAATGGCTTCCTGGGCATGCACTTTGCTTGCGAAATTAGGGGGCAGCCCCCACGAATTAGATAGGTCTCTATGAAACATACCTGGCAAAACCTGCCAAGCCCTATTGTAATTAGGAAGATGCTGGTTGTGGCTTGTTTCCCAAAATGTCAGTCTTAGGTTGCTGCTGCTAATTAAGTGAAGGCAATTTCCCTCTCCAACAAAGCAGTCACTTGATGCAGATGCATGACATGGCTGCAGATGGTCAGAAACAGCTGTTTATAACTCAGGAGAACCAACATCAACTGGATGAAGCTACAGACATATTAACCAACCAATGGGCAGACCTAGGATTTTGAGAAGGGGAATGAAGAAGATATGGCCCATCATCCTGTACAACACAACACATTTTTTCTCCAGCGAAAAGAGAAGCTGGAAGCTTTGCTAATATGCTAGGGGGGCTAGGAATATTATTAATCTTAAGATCAAAGGAAAAACAAATATAACTATTGGAATGTGCACTAATTGCCCGATAGTATATTAAGCTTTAAAAACAACAATAAAACTAGGCAAAAATAAGCACAAATATAGTGATAAAAACAAAGATATAGTGTTATTAGTCCTGTGGTTATTATAGTTAAAGATACACCTTTCATTCAGATTCACAAAACAAAACCTAACCTGCTTGAGTATCTTGACAGTACCTTCAATAGTTCACTGTCAGTCATTTCTATGCCCGAGTTAATTTTACCACACCCAAGTTAAGGTTTTAGCTAGAGCTAAAAACCAGTCTGTAAGGGTATGAAATAGAAGTCAGACATGACCAGGAAGGGCTGACAGCGAAATTGCAGAAGAAAGGATAGTTTAAACAGTGAAACATCAAGATAATTAAAAAGGATAGGAGGTCATTAGTCCCTGTGGAGCAGATGGAGTTTA